TTGGACAGTTTTTCTGCAAAATCAGTGGCGTAGCCTCCATGGCTAGAAGGGGTTCAATGACCGAACCCATGACCATTAAATACCCACAAGAGCACTTTTTGAAAATTCAAAAACAAAGTGTTGAATGTAACAATGTAAATGTTTTGAATTCTAAAAAAAAAAAAAAAATTACCCAGCGTCCATTGTGGTATTTTATTTCTGATATAAATATTATAGGCTTACAAATATAAAAGATGAGTTACATCAAATCGATGTTAGCCTTTCTATTATGATGTAACAATCCTACATTTGGCGGCTGTCGCTAATATTTAAAATTTGAAACTTGCGTGACACGAATGATTAAAACAATTTCTTATCTATGTGATCTATTTGACTTTTAAGTATGATCTAGCGTTTACATGTTTTATAGTACTTTAGATAAATACTGCATTCCTCATTAATCTTTGGACTCTAAGGGTCTTATATATACTTAGGATGTTAACACAAATCAGGCCTACTTTATGTTCTCTATAGGGTTAAAAATTCAAGCGATATTCATCGGAGGAAGAATTTGACTAATTGATATGCTTTTCTGCTTATTGTGAAGTCTAAAAGTGTGAACGCAATCAAAGTTTGTCAAAAATGACAGAAGCTCAGCTTAAAAGCAGAAAAATTTTGTCTTCAAAAGGATCTCGATCATGGAGGCCACCAAATTCACTTCGCCTGGGGCCTCCAATTATCAAAGGCCGGCACTGGAAAGGAGAATTACAATAACAACCTCTCGCGCTTTCATTTATTACTATATTTTGTCAAATCCTTTATGATAAAAAACAACACCTGTTTAATCATCTGGTCACTTGTCTGGTCACTTAAATAGTCAAAAGCTTTGACTTACAAATCAGAGCATCTTTTACAAAGCAAGCATTGTCCATGAAACTTGATCATTTTAGCGTTTAGAAAAGATTTCATGATCCGTAGTGCTACTTCCTGTACCTAACTTCTCATATAAAAATGTATCTTAAATAGACAATGTCAAGAGGACACACAATGTGATATAAATTTAGCTCTCTTGTTGACATTCTTTCAAGGACAAACAGTTTGGCCATTCCTGGCAAACACTGAAATCAGTTTTGAAAAGATGTTATTGTGACATTTAAAGAACCTATGATCTGAAGTCTTCATTATTGACTTTCTCGCTTTTAGATAAACTCCTTGTCACTGACCCACGCCTGTTCTGGAGATTGCTAACTGGACCAGGAGTTTCATACCAGTACAGACTTGAGGGCCCCAATGCCTGGCCAGGCGCACGTCGCGCTATATTTACAGTGGTAAGACGTTGGGCATTTCTTTATAGAAATATTTCATCTAAGTCATAACAGACTGTTAATATAACAATGTTAAGAATTATGTTATAAAATAAATGTTATAAAAATAAAGACATGTATATTGTTTTTTTAGTGACATTGAAAGGGTCAAAACCGCTATTAGTTTTGTGCATCATATTTGTCAGTCGGTTTGTGCGTCCATTTGTTTTGTCCTTTGTGCTATTGAAAATCCGAATTCACAATATTTTGTAGCATACAGAATAGGTGCAAAGTCTACGTTTTGAGTTATGTAATGTTATGTTATATTTTTTAAAAAAATTAAGATAAACATATAGTTTTAAAATACACATACAAATGCACACCATTTAAAAAACTTATTTAAAAAGGTTATAAAGTATAAGTTCTGTTGAGCAATAAGAGGCGGAGCCTGAGTATACAATATTAAACACAAGATCAATGACAATATTTCATTTTTTATACTAACACGTTATGTAGTTATTTGCAATTCTCCAATACTTTCACCTCTCCCTTAGTCTATTGAAACGTTGCGGCACTACACATGATCTGTCGACCGCCTCTCTCTATTTATTTTGTCTCTAGACAGAATTAGAGACTTCTCCATAGACAGGCCCATCCCCTTCCATAATGCTGTCCTCCCATCACTTTCCTTGTCTGCCTCTCCCTGGTTCTGTTCTCTGCATAAAAGTCTCTGTGAGCCCAAAGGATCTTGTTAAATGCGTTTTACAAACTTGATCTGTATATAAAATAGTAATCACGATTACGTTTTAAAATGTGCAATTATTTCAGTTCTTCCTATGTGCTATACGTTAGCTAATTATTGTTTTCAGATGGACAGAATAAAGAAACCTTTTGCGACTCGGCCATTGGTTCAGAGAAATGCATCATGGGGCAAGCAGTTTGTCTTGATGACTATGAGTTTCGTTGTTTTTGCAGCTGCAACTTTTTTTGCTAGCGAGGACAGCAAGTGGTACTTGAAATGTTTTTAACCGTAGGCGTACTCAGAGCTCTGTTTACATTGTTCTTATTCATGAATTGCAAGATGCAAGATGGCAGCTAGAATTGTCTTATCTGACTTATAATTGTTATAATTGTATTTTTTTTTATAAATCTGCAAAGTTTAAATTTAAAAATGTAATGTTCATATTAAGTTAATTTTTTTCGTTATTGTAATATTTAAATTCGTCTATTTGTGGATAAATGCTAATGGAATCAGGGACCTCTGGTTCTGCCTAAGCATTAAAATGCAAGATGTTGAAGGATTTGATTAATATTTGTTGACTCATCAAGCTATAATGCGTACTTTCCTCCAGAGATTGCGTTTCGATTATTCATTGGATAGAAAAGACAAAGCAGCTAAATTTAAAATACTAGAATACTTATTAACATGTATGCATCATTATTTTTTTGTTTTCCTGCCAATCGTCGTCTTCATACCGTATTCATATGATGAATATTTTTAGAACCTCAAAATTGTACAATGTTTCAGTTAAAAAAAATAGGTTGATACCAATTGATATCTATATCAAAAAAGACTGTATTTCTATTTTAATCTATTGATTTTTTTGTCTTTAATAAGTGTCTAGTATTTTATTTTTACCGATAATGGAAACTTTAGAAAAACTTGTACAGACTTGTATCATCATTCACTTTGAAGGTTTCTCATAGAGGGAAATAGAAACAGATTTTCTCAAAGGATTATTATTTTTGTAAGGTTATGAGTAATAGTATTTCCATATTATAAATTTTATTGAATGTAATGTATTAATGAGTGCAAATATTATTATGTGTAAATGGATCATGTACAAGTTATATCATTTGTAATATATTTACCTTATATAAAAAGTATTTTAAAATGTTATATTTGTAACAATAAAATCATTGTTATAAAGCATCTGACCTTTTTTCAATTTTCTTATAGATGTAAGTTTTAAAGAGTGTATATATAATTAAAACATTAATTATATATAAAAAAATTATTATTATGTATTATCATATAATTAATTATTTTAAATACGATAAATTGATATTTGTATTACAAATTTTTTACGCAATTCAGAGTTGAGATTAAAGGAAAATGACAGTTCAACGTATCTTGGAGTCACATATGACACGAGACTAACTTGGAAAAAAAAAATTAAGTAAAGGCATCCTAAGATTAAGATAAAGCAACTCAGGACAGCTCTTGTAAACCTTAACATCTACATCAAGAAAACTGTTCTTCAATGGATCCCAGCACAGATTGAACTAGAAGACAATGAAAAAGCAGACATACTGGCCAAAGATGGAAGAATGGACAAACAAAAGGAGAACTCTCTACCCAGAAGAAACGATGAAAATGCTAGAGTGTAGAACGAAAGAGAATTGGTCCAGCTCACATCCCAGTTACAAGAACAAGGACTCCTATTACAAGCCATCTCGACATAACCAACGCATAAAAAGTCGGGACGAGTAAAACCTGCCCATGTGGAACATCACCATGAATGCTGACCATTTCCTTCAAAGCTACATAATATATCAATGCATCAATTATACTACGTAAAATAAAAAATTTGAAATAAAAATGTATGTAGCTCTAACCGGTAGTCGACTTTGACACGCTCCTTGAACGAAGAGAGCTACCAATCAGGCCTGCGTGCATTGTATAATTGACCATATTAGTACTTTAATTATAAATCCATCTAGAACTAGATATTTACTTCTGATTTACAACTCTAAATATCCAGTCTAAAATTCGATTACTTCTAGATCTAGACTCTAGGCGTAATCAATATTAGTTTTACGTAAAATTATAAGCAAATCTAAGATAATCTAACTATAAACTTTAGCGACTTTAAATTTAATAAACAACCAAGTTATTGGCACTCTACGGTTGACTACGCCATGTATTTTTTAAATCCGATTTCTAGCCAAATTTAAATTTATTTCATTTTCACTTTTAAATTCTAACGGTCAAACTAGAGTTGTCACCATGTGGCCATCGAGCCGATAATTCTTTTCTCAGTAATGAAATGCAACTGTTCAATTTCTCGAAAAATTCTTGAGCCGTTTTTGAGATTAGCCTCCATGCAGGTTCCGGTTCCATGTTCCTGGCCTCATGAAGTTCTGAAATGAGTGTTGTGTATTTATGCTCTTGTTGTGTGTTGTGAACTGATCTGTTCTTGTGTGTCAAAATGTCTTGTTGTCCAGGTCAGCTTGTGTGTGTACTGTGTTACCGTGAACTATTTTGTCATTCTTGTTTAATGAAGCCCAGGATCAAGACATGTCTTCTTGTATTGTTTCATTAGGTTACTGCAATGAGTTGAGGTATTGTAAAAATATAACCATAACAGCAAAGGGACATAATAATTTTTTTTCTTTACATTTTTCATCATGACTAGCACCTACTCATTTTCTTTCTGGATTTATTTCCTTAATTTGTGTATAAAAATATCTATTAAAATGATAAATCTATGGCCTTCTTCAGTCAAGAAGCGACTATGGATCATCTCATAGAAACATTTAGCTATGGCTGGTATAATGTCGCCTTCAATGAGGTGACAGCGCAGCTTCTTTGCCCAAAGGAATCATTAGTACATTCTAGGATTGCCGGCTCCTGATGTCTCCTTAGAGTTGACTTCCATAATGTAACATTTAATTAAATAAAAAACTTATTTATAAAAAAAAAAGAAAATCTCCTACAGTATGTACACATTTATTCCCAGAAAACAAAAGATTGATAATCGAATCATATTATTAAATTAAACAATCAATGTGCAACTAATAAACTGTACTTGAAGAAGCATTAAATATTTTAATTAAGTATTTTCATTTATTGTACACATTAAATATTTCAATTAAGTATTTTCATTTACTCTACACATCTAACACAACCCTAATAAACGTGAACAGTTCAGGTTGAAGTTTTAAATACCCAGTAACAAAATTTCCTTTTAATACTTTCCAAAATGTCTTACCAGCGTAGTTCTGCAGCATAATTATAAATTTCCATATACCATAAGAAAAACAAAAGTTAAACCATATATTTGAATTACTTCATTAAAAATCATTCACATTTTGTAGAGTTCAATGTCCATGTACAAGTATCACAGCCAAATAGCCAGAGCGTTATAAAGAAAGAATAGCCAAACAAAAAACAAACTAAAACAAATAACATTATTTTAATAGACAAAATCTGGGAGAGAGCAATTAAACATAAGCAAACATATATAGACTGTGATTCATTCGTTATCTACACATGATTTATACTTACATACTGATTAAAAATGGACACCTCATATACACAATTTATATAATAAAATGAAAACGCATAACAGAACTGTGTACATGATCAATAGAATTATCAAACAAAAAAGAATAATTTAAACTATTGAAATAACACTTTACAGTGAAAATAATATACAAAGCTACAATTATTTATTACATGTCTACTAGAAGTTATTTACAAATACATAATCTCACTCTCCCTCTTTCTCTCCTAATTGACAATACCAATGTTGATTTAACCCCATGAAGTTACATTAATTTTTTGTTTTATAAATTATAATTTAATTTGTGTAAAAATAAAAAAAATATAATCCTATTTAATTTGTTTTTATCAAATCTAACATTTTGAATAAAAAACAAACAAACAAAAAAAGATATTGAAGTTTAATCATAACAGGATAGGGAAATACAAAATGAGCAAAAGGAATAAATCCATTGGAAAGTGGAAAATAATTACGGAGAGAAAGAGTTTAACAATGATAATACGGAATTTCAAGTTGCAGACTAATTGATGAACTTTAGTCTGTAAGGCCACAATGGTACAGTTTACAAAAACAAGATAATTTATTTGACAGAACTGTCTTTAATAGCGCTTTTGTCATGTAATTTTCAATCAATCGAGACCATTTTAAAAAGGAAATCCTACAAATGATAGAAAATTCTTTCAACTTAAATCCATTTTATGGCCTCTTAAACATTAATCATATAATTTTTTTCTCAAGTTCCTTCACAGTTCCCCCCTCCCAAAAAAAAAAAAAATAAACACATTAATCGTCATATGAAAGACTTTTTAAAATGAATTTGACTATAAATTGAATTTATGTGTACTTTAATATCGATTTATTTAATTTGCTGAAATCCTTGCATTTTTTTTTAATTATTTTTTTTTTGTTGTTTTTTTTACATCATATATATGCCCAGACATTTGGTAAGTAGGAAATGTAGAGGATTGTCATTGACAAGTATAATTTCAGCGTTCTAAATTCAGAAAGAATGTAACATTTTAATCCTTTAGATAAAAACACATTTTATTATCAAAAAAATTAACGTCTTTCTTCTAACAGTTTTGATGGAGCATTCTCTGGTATACGGAGAATGGAGGTGTTAAATGTGAACAACTTTGAACACTTATTGAAAATGTATAAAAAAAAAAACTTGCCTCGAAATATGAGCTACATTTTTTCATTGTTGAACTAAAGTAATTCAAAAATTGACAAATATTAATAGTTGAAAGAAAGTGATTTGCACTTGGAACAAAGTTATACAACATTTACATTGACAGATTTTTTGTTTTTATGACACCAAGAAAATGAATTGTAACAATAGTCAAAGTTACTTTAATTCGAAAGTATTTAATATAAATAAAATATTTATTACCATAGTATTCTAACGAATAATTTTATTTAAGGAAAACATACACAATTATTACAGCATTTCAAAATAATGCTGAAGAAAATTAGGTCAATACTTATAACAAACATATTTTTTTAAAACTCCTTTTTTTGCTGTGATGTTTTAAGTTAAAATAATTTAAATGTCAATTACTTTATGGGTACAGCAGCAAGCTTCTTGATTAACTTTGAAGTCTGTGCCAACACCCAACTTGTTTCCTGGCATTGTTGACCATCTCCAACCATTGAGCTCTTGCATTCGCGTCAAAGTTGACTCCAAGGTATAGCCGACCTAGTAAACGTCTTCCATCTTCTTTGTCCTTAGTTTTGAAAAAAGACAGGAGAAAATTTACTTTTTTTTTTCATGACAGGAAACAATACGTGTTAAGAGGTCATTACATGATGAAAATTTTAAATAATACCCATCAATTGTACGTTTGTGTTTGGAAGAGCAATGAAAACCGTGTTGTTGTTTGCTTTTTTTTCTTTCTTTCTTTTTTTTTTTTGGTTTGGGCCCGGGGGGGGGGGGGGGAGAGTTAATAACAATGCAGACAATGTCTTCCGAAATTATAAGAACATCTTGACTTGGAGTGGGTTAGGCTGCATTATGCCCAGGAATAAGTTCAAAGATGGGATATGGTTGAGGCTGCAGTGTACTCAGGAATAAGTTCAAAGATGGGATGTGGTTGAGGCTGCAGTATACTCAGGAATAAGTTCAAAGATGGGATGTGGTTGAGGCTACAGTATACTCAGGAATAAGTTCAAAGATGGGATATGGTTAAGGCTGCAGTACACTCAGGAATAAGTTCAAAGATGTGATGTGGTTGAGGCTGCAGTATACTCAGGAATAAGTTCAAAGATGGGATATGGTTGAGGCTGCAGTATGCCCAGGAATAAGTTCAAAGATGGGATATGGTTGAGGCTGCAGTATGCCCAGGAATGAGTTCAAAGATGGGATATGGTTGAGGCTGCATTATGCCCAGGAACAAAATTTGAAGATGAGGTTGCTGTATGTCTAAATGCCTTGAAACCAATTTAGGAGAGTGCTAGTTCGGTGATTTGTGGTTGCGGCGTGGTTTAGGTCCCATTCTTAGCCTTGGTGTACAAGATAACGCACAATGAGTCAAAATTAGTTATGACAATGTTGAAGTCGGCGTCAATCGAGCTATGACATTGAACTATATAAAGATCTGAAAACGACTTCAATTGCTACTGTACGTCTCCTGTGAGAGATCTACACGGTGACTAACAGAAAAGTAGCCAGTTATTTATATCCAGGCGTCACACTCGGACTTTAATAAGCTATAACTTTCATCCTTAAACACTGAACGAGTGGCAACATACTAGAACAGATATTGGAATTGATCACAGTCCATTTCTATTCACTTCTGGATATAGAAGTAGAACTTCTTTTTGGGTGGGTCATCAGGAACTATTGCATTTTAACAGTAATTTAAAATTCTAGTTTTATCTAATCACCTAAGCCTTACTTCTCCCCCTTCCTAAGAAAACAAAAATTAGATTATATAGACAAGTGTTTCCTTACCTTATCAACACCTATGATAGCAATACTAAAGTAAACTTTGTCCAGTTGATACACAGGCACGTCAAAGACAAATGTCTCATTAAACACTGGGCTCAGGTCACTAGCTTTGCCGCTTGTTTTAGTTTTCTTTAGAGGACGTCCATCATGCATCAATGTTATCTTAGCGAAAATCTCTGTCAACAGAGAGGAATTACGGAATGCTTACATACAACATTGGAGTCATAGAATGCATGTTAAGAAAGTAAGACTTAGGTTACACTTTCAAACTCTTATGTTTCTATGGCGGACGATCAGCGAAGGTGTTTATGAAGCCGCAGGACCCTGTTTACCGCTAGGTAACACAAGCTGCTATAGCTTTATTTAGCATATTTACATGGGCTTATAGATGCCACATAAGGTTAAATAGCTTAGGGCTGAAGACGGTGCTGCTGGAACTAAAGTTGAGATCCCATATCTTGTGTACAAACTTGTGACTTGATCTTCTGCTCTTTCATATCACACTTTAATACTTTATACTGTAACAAAACAATGTGTATGTACCCAATACCTGATACAGGCCAGCAGGGATGTCAGTTCTGCGTGGTGTGTAGTATAATGGATAAGGAAAGAGAACGACCAAGCAAGAAAGTTGGCAATGTGGAAAATTGTGGAAGTCTTTAGACATAGAAATAAATTATAATAAAAAATATTGTATTAACAACAATATTCACAAGAATTATTTTAACTCAGATTCTTTGGTGGTTTGAAGACTTATTTGATTTGCGAGCTTAACTTTAAATAAATAAATTACACACGAGCGTAAGCTATTAAAGTTTAATTTGAATAACATTGTCTTGTTCTTCTCAGCTTTTCTCTAGGCATCGGTGAATGCTATTCTCGTCATTAGTTTCAAATATTTAATGGACAAAGTGCCTGTGGAGTTTAAAACCCATGTGGAGACTAACTTTAATCTTTCGGGAAAATTGTGTCAAACTCTAATGGACTCATGAAGCTATTTTGGTAATATAAAAGCGTATGGTCTCTATGCTGGCCACGTGACATCCTCGATTTAAAAAAATGAGTTTTACATCTTCTGGGTTTGAACCGCAAGATCTGAAAGGAGACCTTTACATTCTTTTTATATGTACTGCAACGTTTTAGGTGGATACAGAATAAAGAATAACTAAAACAAAATCTGAAAATCTGGTTTTCCCCCGGCAGTAAGAAAAAGAGAAGGCAAATAGTGAACTATAATGTCTACAGTAATAAACGTACCAATATTTCTTTTGGCTTCTTCTATGGGTCTGAGATGTTTGGCACTTAGCAGAATGACACTTAGTTTCTCTGCAGTTGGCAAGTACATCAGTGCTACATGGAGCTCTCCAAGATTTTCCTAACCCAAAAAAAAAAAGGAAGATTTAAGTCCAAAAAAAAAAGAAATGAATTGAATTCAAAATGTGCAGAATGTATAGAAATCCGCACACCATTTTTTCCCCTCTCTTAAAACAGTCTTTTCGTTTAGAAACATAGAAAACGGATAAAAATGATACTAGAGGCTGACAAATTAAAAAATAAACCATCACTGCACTTACGTGTTGTAATATGTATAGCCAGTTTTGAAACCCATCAATAAAACACTTTAAAACCCAATCAAAGATACAATAACTGGTTTCAACCCTTAAATCAAATAGAAAAATACAATGTAGTTATCGTATTAGAAAAAAAAAACTAACTTCCTGTGGCGTCATTAAAAGGTCATTAAACAGAATTTCTTCTCCATGTATAAGATCGATTTTCGAAAGGTCACGCACTGTTTCACCTGCAGACAGATATAAAATTAAAAGGTCTAATCGATACAAAAGTATTTCTATGTACGATTTAACTTTGTATTTATTAAACAATATTTAATACAGATGATTACTTTTCATGACATGTTTAAGTAGTCGTTGTGTCTTAGAACGTGTACCACTGACCGATAATGATGTGTCTTAGAACATGTACCACTGACCGATAATGATGTGTCTTAGAACATTTACCACTGACCGATAATGATGTGTCTTAGAGCATTTACCACTGACCGATAATGATGTGTCTTAGAACATGTACCACTGACCGATAATGATGTGTCTTAGAACATTTACCACTGACCGATAATGATGTGTCTTAGAACATGTACCACTGACCGATAATGATGTGTCTTAGAACATGTACCACTGACCGATAATGATGTGTCTTAAAAACTTGTCCACGTCGCAGACAAGAAATCTAATGGCGTACTCTGTGATGTCATGGCCATCCACTGGAAACTTGAAAGACTCATTAAATAAAGGGTTGTCTGTCCGTCTCAGAATTTTGGTCTGGACTTCTGATTCTAGGTTATTCATCGGAAAATCTTTATTGGCAGAGCTGGTTTGTTGAGATGAATGAAGGAGAGGAATTATAAAAAATATCACTTTTAAAACATATAAATATCTAACAATATATAGTTTATTCTAGTTAATTAAAAAAATGATTAATGGCTATGTCTTCCATTACGAAGATTAAGGACAAGTGTTTCACATGACTACGCAAGCCCAGTTGTGACCTGCATATTTTTCTACATTTGAAGCAGACAAAGCCGAGGAACTATTAAAATTAGTTTGTTCTACGTCGTCTACGCCTGTCTTCTACAAATACCTTTTTTGGACCTCAAATGTGTGTCCCGTGGCCTTCGTAACAGCTCTCCAACTGTGTATTTTAGAGTCCATCTGCTGTCAGCTACTTCTCTCTGTTCCAGATAGGCCAAAATGGAGCCTGCACTTAATGATCATTATAGCTCTTACGGGTGATATGGATGCAAATTAGTTACTCGGT